TTTTTTTTTAATTTTTTTTTTATAGAGAGCCAAACGAAAAGTGATGAAAATCGCTTCCAAAATCTCTTAGAATTGGAAAGGGAGTTTTTAATCACTTGACTTCTCTCTCACTCTCAGAAGAACATAATATGTTATCGGAACCATACTGTACATCATGACTTGAAAGTCGATACCTTTTATCCTCTCTCTATGTTTATTGGTATGATGTAAAGTTTTACTCTGTACAAAATGACAACTGTTAGAAGTACTCAGTCATGTAATCTGCCGACTCCAAATCGGAGAACTGTTGGCCATTTGCTCACCTGAAATACACTCAAAAACAAACAAAATATACGAGTACATATAATCCACACTAATTAAAAATAATTAATTAAATTACATAAATAAGACATTTTAACAGAACCAAAAGCCAAAAAATATCGCCGATAATCACCCCGACCAAAGCGCAGAGAGCCACACGAAATAACCCCTCGAGAATTCCACAATTCTCAGAAACAAAATAAGAGGAGAGAGAGAGAAAGCTTCAAAGCTTCATCAATGGCGTCAACAACTGGCATAGCCTTATTTCTCTCTCTCAAACCCTTTCAACTTTCTCACCAACACCAAAACCATCTTCCTTTTCTCTCTTCTTCATCTTCTCGCCATTTTCTCTCTCCAACAACCTCTCTTTCTTATCGCCGGAATCGCATCATCGGATGCCTAATATCCGGCGTCGGCGGCGGCGGACTTTCCGATACGAGGAAATCGGAATTTTCTAGAGAGTTCGCCGTTATCGCTACCATGTTGAAGCGCATCGAACCTCTAGATACTTCCGATATTTCCAAAGGTGTTTCTGAATCTGCTAAGGATTCTATGAAACAGACGATTTCTACTATGCTTGGACTTTTGCCTTCCGATCAGTTTTCCGTTTCTGTTAGGGTTTCGAAGGTTCCTCTTCATCATCTTCTCGCCTCTTCTATTATAACTGGGTACTGTATTATCTCTTGCTCAATTATTTAATCATTTTTTAGTGATTTGATTATGGTAGGGAATGTTAGTTTTGCTGTGAATTTTGGATGAATTGTGTTTTTTATTGTTGAATTGTTGATTTTGTGATTGTTAAATGTTGATTGATGTTTTGATTTGGCGAATTATTAGAGTTCTGCAATAAATTTTGGGTTAATTGTGTTTTTTGGTTGTAGAATTGGGAATTTCGGATTGTCAGAGGTTGATAGGGAGTGCAATTTTAGAGAGAAATTTTCAGTTGAATTCTGTTTTTGATTGTGGAATTGGTGCAATTGGATAAAGAATGCTACTTTTCAAAGGTGAATTTGAGCTATTTTGATTGTTAGATTATGGAAATTAATACATTTTGGATTGTTTGAACTTTGAATTGAAATATTTCAGTTGGAAGGTTAAGTTCAAATAGAATTTTCAGTGACTTCTGTATGTGATGATGAAAGCCGAAATCGGTACATTTTGATAGAGAGCTTCCTTTTACTGAGCTTATCACTTATAAGAAGAAGAATGCAGTTTCAGATCTAAACCCACCTTAACACAACCCCCCCCCCCCCCCCCCCCCCCCCCCCCCCCCAAACTTCCAGACACCCCTTCAGTAGGGTATATGAATTTTCAGACAGTCGGTTTCGATAAGGAATGTAAGTTTGTAAACGAGTTATCTGCGAATTCTGTCTGCTATAGGCGGATTAGTAATTGTAGATTGAATGTTTGTAGTATTTGTTTTGGCCCCTTTGTTATTTAGATAGTGATGATATTCAAATTCTTATATTGCTTGGTTTCAAACTTTAAGATATTGGTAGGATAGGCAACTTCATAGATATATCTTTTTAGTAAATTATATTCGAGGTAGCCAAATGTTTATACTCTTGTTATTTTTATTTGTGATAGGTATACGCTATGGAATGCGGAATATCGTATATCATTGATGAGAAATTTTGAGCTGTCTATGGATAGTTCGGAATCACGTAAATTTGAGGAGGGGAGTGAGGCGTATGGATTGGACCGTGAGGAACGAGAGTGTGAAGGTGCAAATGCATGTAATGATTTAGGCATCAATAGTTTTGAGCAGATTACTTCTCATAGCTTAAAAGATTTATCTCTTGAAGCTTTGAGATACATCCAACAGTTGGAAACAGAGTTAAGCTCTGCACAAAAGGTGAGAATTCTGTCCACTTGGAGTTGTTTAGTGGTATTATTGTTGTCTATTCCTATGCTGTGTTTCTGTAATACGAAATTCTTGAAATTGAGTAATCTAAAAATACCTCACCGCCTCACTTGCTGTGCAAAAAGGATATCAATCCTTGTCTCCTGTAGAAGAGTTAAGACTGAGCTTACCTAAGTGTAGCTTATTTGCTTCCTATGATATTTATGCTGCGCTTAATTGACCGTTCAAGTTGGATATTCCCCAAAGATGGTCTTTTAACAGGGAGAACGAAACAAAGGCGTTATATCTATTTGGTGAATTTGTTGATGAATTTTGAATTTTCAAGAACAAATCTTTCTTCTTCACATAGTAGGGTTCTTGTTGTTCTTCCACTGTTATAACCACAAACCTGCTACAACTCAGCCTTTTGGTCTCTTTGCTATTTATACTATGAAGATCCGGGACACGTGTTATTTAACTTTTGGAATCTATAAGTTTTGGGACTGGAACGTGTGCTAGTTTTGAGGATGAAATGCCCATATTTCCAACAGGGCTATATTTGTTCAAACCTGTATTTTGCTTATGCTGTGAGGAGTGTCCTGTCTACTAAAACCAGAATTACCAGATGCCATAAGAGGTAAAAAGAGAGGACTAGATGGATGGCGTTATTTGTAAGGGAATACCAGGAGATTGGCGAAGCGGTTTGGACAAAATGTCGAAATTAGTGGTTTAGGCCTTACCCTGGGATTGGACTTGCCTGTTTTGTTACTTTCTCTTCAATTTCCTAAGCTCAGCTTGTCCCAAAGGTTAAGACTATCATCTATGATGTGTGGATTCCAAGGTCGACAACCTTGTGACTCTTACAATACTTTCTGTACGGGTTCTTGAATTTATCCAAAAATTAGAATCTGCCATCTTCAACATCTTATTCTTAAAAACTTAAAATAAATCCTTATAGTTCTGTAGTTCCAGTCTGGCAAGAAGATGAAAATATCATTATGCTGTAACATTTCATGCTTAATTTAAATTCCCAATTGCTTCTTATTTAGTTATAGGCAGTTGCATGAGGAAGCTGTGGTATGATGCTGTTGAATAAGTTCGTATTCATGGATTTGGAGCTTGTTCCCTGTGGCTATCATTTCTCTGATTGGATGGATCTAGTATCTAATTCACTGTAGAAAATTTTGGGTAATTCATAGAATCACGGGAGTAGGTGAAGAATATATGCTAGAAATTAACTAGAACCATTTAGAAGACTACAAAAATGGAGTTGGGCTGTAGAACAAAGATGTAGGGTAGTTCTCAGTTTTTACTGGAATGCTGTGAGAAACTGGGAACTACCCTACATCTTTGTTCTACAGCCCAACTCCATGTTGTCTTGAGCTCATTGTTCATATGCTGTCCTGTTGTTGAGGCAACGTTTAGGGAGACTAGGTTTTATTGCAGAAATGTGTGTGAAGTTTGATGTGTATGTTGTGAGATTCCAGTGTTTATTCTAAACTTGTGATAACTTCTCTCATTTCAGGAACTAGACGCACAGAGGCAAGATTCTGTGCAAATTGAATCAAGTAAGGGTAACCATAATAATCTGCTGGAGTACCTCAGGTCCTTGGAGTCATCTATGGTGTGTGTTAAAGATTGATCTTAATGTTAGTGCCTTTGTTGCCATCTTAAATGTTCATGTGCAAGTGTTGACATCATATCTGGCATATACAGGTGTCTGAACTCTCACAGCCTAATTCAGTAGAGGTAAAGGAAGTAATCCATGAATTAGTTCAAAATACGATACATAGATTTTTCAAAGATGGCCCCATATCCAAACCCATTAAGACTCCGACCATAGCAAGCATAAAGGACCACCAAGTTGGTGACAGTGAAGGTTTTGAAATGATCACCACTTCCAGGGATTCGCTTGCAAAACTTTTGTTCTGGTGAGTAGCTCTTACTTTGTTGCTTGCAATTAGTCAAGACTCAAGAGTCATCAATTCTACATGACATCAAGCTATTAAGTTTCTAGCATTATTTGCCCTTACGCTTCATTCATTTCACCAATTGCACTACTAAATTTAGGTAGCTGTAGTTTATCACATACGTAATAGAGTAACAGTCATCGTTTGGTAGGTTTGATTATTTGGTTTGGTTCTAAGCGGTGTCTTCATTGCTGGCAGGTGTATGCTGTTAGGACATCACTTGCGAGGCTTGGAAAACAGATTACACCTAAGCTGCGTTGTTGGATTATTGTAAAGAGTACAGAAATAACCCTGTATATTCATCCCTTTTTTCTCATCTCAGAAGATGCTTGTTGTATTCTTGCTGGAAAAACTGCAATACAACCGACTTTTATTATTATATTATTCGGATATTCAATTAATCTAAATGAGTTTACTAAATATTCTCTCTATTAGCAATCACTCATATCCGTAATCCGGCCAATGTCTATGAACCAGTAGTTTGTATTTGTGAGGTTGATCTCATCCTTATCAAACAAGAACTTTGTTTTCCCTGAAATGCCAAAAGCTGTCACCTTCAATTGCCTTAAAATGCAATCCCTCCTGACTACAATTTTTTATTTTTAAACGGTAAGATACGGAGAAAGGCCCCATTCTATCACAGGAATGGGGGATGAGGAATCGAATCTCCATCACTTGGGGGACCATCCCTCCATCTCATAAGATCCTCAATCCCTCCTGACTACATGCCCACAGTAGGATTGAATGATTAAAAAGACGGAACAAGTCATAGATCGTAAATTTGTGACTTATATGAAATACTCACATCACTTGTCAAGGGTAAATTCACATATATGTAGGGTGTTTGTAAAAAGTTCACATTTTCAACATATCGATTGTACAACTACTAATGCATATAAGTATGATAACTAATGTGTACAGAAACAGTAGCTTTTATAAGGTGTTTTTTTTTATTTATTTTGGGGGGGGGGGGGGGGTGGGGGTGTCCATAAGGCACGGCCACAATGTATAAACAAAGATTGTAATCTTGTTAATTAGTTTCTAATGCTAAAATCCATATATCAGCATATGCAAACATCACCAAGAAATGAATGCTTCACAGGCCTAACATAATTCCTCAGCTAATTCATCCCAATGATATAGGTACTTAAGAAAAACACAGTCAAGCCGAACTTTGTAAAGTATCAGGAAACATGAAAGACACTCCTCATATACACCGCATGATCTACAGAACCAAGTCTTAAAACCATGCTTACTTGCTGCAAAAATCATTCGGCTGAACTGCTAAAGCTGCATCAGCGTTTGAAGAATCATACTGCTTTCTGCAGCCAGGACAACGCCCATCTACCTCGAGTATCTTTTTGTGACAGAACAGGCAAAGCTGAAAACCACAAGGGCAAGGGAAGAAGCTCAAGTCTGTAACATCAAAATCCTCACAACAAATCGGACAAGCAGAAGGTCCACTCGAAAAGCAGTGTTCTGAAGTCAGCTGATTTTGATTATACTGCTGCAGCTTTGGAAGGCCAGGCAAACTTCTAGGACGATCAACATCATACAGGCTCCAAGCGCGCTGTTCCCTTGATATCGACAATTTACACCAGCAGATTCTGTTTCTGAAGCATGGTGTTCCATATCTGAAGTGTGTCTGTTTTCTGCTGCCAAAGCATCTGCCACTGCTTCCCAATCATCTAAACACCTATCATCCATTTCACAGCAACTACTAGAGCAACTGGCACTACTGCTATTGTGATATAATCTTCTGATACTCGAGCCATTCATCCGAGACACAGCATCATCGTTACATGATATCGGTATCTCATCCTTGTGTTTTCTTGCATTCACAGCCAGATTGTCCTGCATTGTGTCCCTCTCGTGGCCATTTGGAATGGATTGAGAAAGTTCGAATTCTCCACCAACATAGTCATCCACTGAACAAATTATAAGCCAAACGGAAAAAATACATCAAATCACCAAACATTATCAGCAAAACTTAAACTAATTTAAACCAAGAACATAAAATTGGCAAACCCCAGATATTCTATCCATCAAAATCAAAGTCCCACCAATTTATTTTTATTAACGTTGTCAAAGGAATCAAAATCCAACCTTTCAAAATCTCAATTCACATACATTAAAGAAAACCAAAAGAATTTTTGTAAAAAACAATCAATCATATTATCCAAATTTCTTAACATAACCAAGATCAATTATATGATCATCAAACCGTCTGATACAAGAATTTACGCGTTCACGTACCTTGAGATAATCTTTGATCTCTTGTAACATCGACCTTGTTTTGTTTTGATTTCCCATGTTTGCTCCCCTGTTTTTTTCCACAAAAACAATCATCAATTCTCTAAACACAAAAATGATCAAAATAAATACCCGTCAAAAACAAAAATGATAAAAAAAAAAAAAACAATTTTTTTTAACAAAAAAATCCCAACAAAAGAAAAAAAATAAAATAAAAATAAACATACCCTCTTCTTCTTGGAAGAGTTCCTGTAAGGCCCGCAAGCACGAGCATCAGAAATTGCATCAGACCTCATAATTCTGAAATTTCTGAAATCAAAAGGTTTCTTATTAATTTTTATTTTAAAAACCCCAGAATTTATTGATGAAGAAGAATATATTAGATTATTGGTAACGGTGAAATAGATTGAAAAGAAAAGAAAATTAAGAGAGAGAAAGGAGGAGATGATATAGCGCAGCACGAATGTTATGAGGCATTGAGGCCACAAAATTCGGGAGGGAAAAGAGAAAAACGAAGGACCCTTTTTTTTATAAAATAAGTAAAATAAAAAGAATGATTTATTGTGAATTACTTCATATTAACAATTGACATCTGTTACATCTGTAATCCCTCCGTTTTTTAAAACTTGCTCAATTTCTAGTTTTTTTACTATTCATTTGTTCTACTTTGACTAATGTTTATGATTTATATATAAGGAAAAATAGTCTCATGGATATTTGTTGGAATCGTCTCAATAAATAAATTATTAATTTTCAATTGTTAGAATTTATGTTTATTGATAATTAAAGATATTAGTGATTAAAGATTAGCATCGACATACGTGCTCCAGAGAAATGGAGCAAGTATTTAAAAACGGAGGGAGTACATGTGTTTATATACTTTGGCCGGGAAATAAATTCCCGTAGAAAGTTGTATTTATTTCCCAAATGAAATTCTTAAGGTTGCGTTTGGATACTCTTATTTCATTTCAAATAGTGAAATTCAATTCTAGATTTTTAATTGCTAGAATTCAATTCCAAGTCATTTGTTTGGGAAAATAAGAATTTGGAATTTGGAATTTTAAATGCTAATAAGACGTTTGTTAATACAAAGTATTTCAAATCCAGAATTTCAAACAAAGGCAAATTCTGCTAATAAAATCTCCACAAAAATACAACATACTTACATCAAAGTATTAATTCAAGTTCACTCACACCTAAACAAATCTACTTATCATCATCATTACATATAAAAATTAGACTAACTCTGTTAATTTGATACATTTTTTATCATATTGAACTCATCGAATCTATTTTTTTACGAACCTTTCACAACTCTTTGTCTTGTCCTTTGGAATTCAGACTTCTTGCAAGTTACAAAGCACATTGGTAGAGTTTATTCAAGTCAAAGATGCAGCCAACTTTGAGTTACAGTTGCAGAGCTAAATCAATTCTCGGAAATTTTCAGAATTAGGGAAAGTCAACAACAATAAATCATTTGATTGAAATATGCAAAAGCAAGCAATTAAGGCTAGTAAAAAATTGAACAACTACACTATTAGCTTACTAACAGCAACATGTCTAGAACAAAATTGCTCCTTTCTTTGCAGTGAACAATTGATCTGAACAATTAATTCAGGATTTTAGGTTTTTAAGATAATCTTACACAAATTTAGAAATTATCAAGAATGAAATAAACATTGCAAATCATATTAGATAAAAATTTACAGATCTATCAAAGCATGCATATAACTTCGAAAATCAATTGGAAACAAAATACATTATAGAAAGAAAATTGGGCCAATTTGAAGGAAAGTTAGGCCAATTTAAGGGAAAAAAACAAAATCTGAAGGAAAATCAGATATTTACCAAGAAGATCCAACAAAATAAAACATAAGATTGTAGAAAATAAAACCTAAATTTATCAAGAATCGATGTGGTTTCGCACAAATTCCTAGCAGACGAGGCGTGGGAGAGCGAACAAGAAGAGCGAGAAAGCGCATGAGAAGAGAGAGAAAGCACAAGGAGAGAGGAAGAAGATGCACTGTCGTTGTTTACGATGGATTTCAAATTATGAAAAATAGACTTAAGTTTTAAGTGGGTTGGAATTGGGCCAATTCCAATTCAAAATTTTTTGGATCACCCAAACAAGGTGTCTGATCCAATTCCAACATTTCAAATGAAATGCTCCATACCAAATACGTCAAGTTGTTTGGTTGTGACAATGAAAAGTTGAAATTCCTATGATTTTGAATGAGTAAGGGGGCCTAGATAATTTACTTCCTATATTTTGCGGGAAAAGGGAGTTTAAAGGCATAACAGTAATGCACAAACAAATACATATAATTGGCAATTTTGTAAATAATACAAATTAAAAGTACTATTGAGAGGTAAAAAGTACTATTGAAAGGTAGAAAGTATGCTAAACATTTTAAGTAGTACTTTTCATGCTCCCAGTAGTATTGAATACATGTCAGTAGTACTAATGAACAGTAACAATAGTATTACTGAGAAGTGAAAAAGTTTGTTATGTAAAATTAGTTGTGCATAATTGTTATGCATCACAACTTTCTCTTGTGGAAAGTGGAAATTCCCATCAATTTCAACTTCTCCCATTTTTATTTTTCTGTGTCAACCAAACAACTACCCAAATTACAAACTCCCATGAATTTTCACTACCCTCATTTTATTTTATCAACCAAACAACCACTTTTATAAAGTTATTTTCCAACTTTTTCTGTTGTTGATTATGTCTTCTAACGTTCGTTATTACTTTGATCAATATAATTTTTTTAATCTGTAAGGGGCACGTAAGGTTTTTTTTTTTTCATTACTATTTTTTTTTTTTTTGGAAACGCATCAGCATATATATTAATTAAGGGCAAAAGCGTCCGAGAGTACGCAAGGAGCAATTTCCGGAGGACAATGGTTGACCCATACTTGCTCAACTGCAAACAGTAAAACTCCAGCAAGATAATGGGCTACATTGTTACCTTCGCGTTTTACATGAGCCACACAAGGAATTAAACTCGCAACTTAATGACAGAATATCCTCTAGTACTCCATCTAAATCAGAGTAGAAAACAACAGCCTTTGAAAGGCGATTTACCAACTCTTGGCCAATCATGTTAAGTTTAATATGGGTTTTTTTAAGGGTAATGATATATGGAGTACAAAGTATACAGTTGTATGTATTGTAAAAAAGCAAAAGCTATTAATTACACCGATTGACGCGTGATTTTGGTATTCATTCCCAAATAATTACAGTCTAGGAAATATTGGGCGACGTTCGTTAGCAAGATCTTTGTAAAAATAGTACTCGTGTATATTTATTCCTTTTAATTATTAATAGGAATTAGTTATAATGTGACTTAATGTACACATATGACAACATACTTTGATTTTTTAAAGTAACTTTAGTACTTTGATAATACAATAAGAGAAGTCAATGGTCAACTATTTTTTCAAGGTAACTATTCCGTAGAGCAACACTTTTTATATACAATCGGCTGCACATAGAGGTAGGAACACCTAAGGATAGTTTCTTTTGCTTATTAATTAAAGATTTTAAATAAGCAAAAAAATGATAAATGAATACTACCTTGGGTGCATCTTGCGCCCTAATGTATATAATTTTTCTCCAAATGGCGAAAAATATAAAATTCATATGAATAAAACCAATCCTAAGACTTTAACCAATCAAATAATATAGGTGACATCTATTAACTATTATTAAAACAAAACATTGCTGACATTATCAACCCTCAAATTATCCTACGTGTCATTCTAACATTAAAAATTTCCCCCTCCATTTTCTATGTGTAATGTCATCATTTTTTTATTTTTTTTAACCTACACTATACATTTTTCTAAAAAAAAAAAATTACCACTCTTTTTTACACAAATGATAAAACTTTATTTTATGCTTAATAATAAAAATTAATTGTGCAACGCACGAGTCTAATCTAGTACATGTAATAAAATACTTGTAACTTAGTTAGATCACTTTAAAAAAAATAAATAAATTAGCATAGGAAAGTCACAAGACATAATATACGAGTATAATTTTAATGATGCACACCTTAAATTCGATTAATTGTTCCCTCAAAAAAAAAAAAAAAAAAAAAAATCGATTAATTGTAGATTTGTAGTCCTTGATATATATGCACAGAATGTCACTTTAATTTGGGTGATAGATTGATACGCCTGAGATTTGAATGACTGGTGAAAGTGACCCAACCTTTCTGTGAATTCTCTGCTATCTTCTAGAATATTGTAGAGCATCAGTTGCTTCCCTATTAACTCCGTACTTCACAGTTTGAGAATTTTTGCTAGCCCAATCCATTACAAGATCGAGCCAAAAAAATACAACAATATCAAATCCATAACCATGTTGATAGTGTAATTTGAACTAATAATGTGACAACATTACATTCGAGCAAAAGCAATACAAGCAGACTGAACAACGGCAAGACTGGAAAAAAAAAAAAAAATCCATATCATAAATGTCTGAAAATCTTGTCTCTACAATCTGTATACACTTACACCTATATCACTATCCAAAGGGTTAACTAAAGGTTCCACTTCCAGGAACCCATCAGACAGTGGCGCTACAGCTGAAGATTGCAATACCTATGAGAATTCAAGAAGATTACAATCTAGAGGAATTTATATAATCATACAAGTATTCTACAAGAGCATAAATCTTCACCAACTGTTTCTATGTACATCATCTCGGCCGAACCCTAAGCGCAGAAGGGTAAAGTAGACATCGTTCTCATAAACAATTGTGCTTTTCCCAGGAAAGATAAGATTTACCAAGGGGAGGTTCATCATATCAAGGAAATCCTTGGGTGTTCCACTTTACATATTGTTAGAACCTGTAAAAAGACAGCTAGAGATGTGAATATTGACATCAACTAGAACTTTGCACATCTTTTTGAGTGTACGTGGTTCAAATATTCGCTGCATCGTAACATTGTGAGAAGAACAGAAGCTAGCTATTAATATGCAAGATAAAAGTTACCTGAATTTTACAGCATCTGTACGAGTTGTAATTTACCGGCATGCTTCAGATAAAAACTTGTGGAATTTGTTTAACCTTGCCTGGTTTAGTCTTGCACAAAAATCTGATTGCGATCTTTTCCTTCTATTCTTTGCTCGGAAAAAGAAATCTTCTGTGTCTAGAACATAGGATATCTGTATGAACAGAACAGCAAGATCACACAAAGCAAACCAGAGATCAAAAGCAAAAATATATTAGCTGAATGGTATATCTGGTAGGATATCAAGTATGCCAGCCATACATGTGATCAACATTACCAATTCACAAAACTGAGTGGAGATGTCTTTCAAAGGCACAGATGATGGTAATCTCTCATTGCAAGTTGGGCTAATATCAATATCCTAACAACATCTAACATGAACACTGAAGCATGCTCTAGTAGCAATGCAGACGTCATCAAGCAAACAGGAATTTTTCACAAGGAAGTTCTATGAGAAAACATGGAGGAACAGATGCCCAGAATTAAATAAAAAAAGATAGTAATCAAATACTTATAACTGCATGAAATTAATTTAACAGACACACAGTTCAACTTGTGTGGCAGAAAAGAGTGGTATTTTCACCAGAAAGAAAATGAGATGTTACTCGAAAAGCTAACCAACAGACTGACAGAGCATTCCATGCACAAGTGACAGCAAAGTGAAACACACCTTGGAAGAACTGCAAGCTATTTTACATTCCAACCCATTAAATAACTGAATGCCCTCCATAGCTTTTGACGTGGCTAAATATTCATCAAGTCCAGTATACTTCTTTTTGTTCCTGCATCAGAGAGCAGGTGAACCAATGATAAAAGGACTTCCAGAGGAGATCAAAGAAGTAATATGCTTAACTTCAGAAAAATTATGTAGTTTAAAGAGCATCCCTCTACCCTCCTCCCTCACTCCAAACCCTCTTCCCAGATCCCAACCATAACGTCCTGTTTTAGAAATATGGTGAAAATCTTGAAATCGCCAGGCAATATTTTTTTTTATTTTTATTTTTTTAAAGATAAAGAACCATGAGAAGCAAGAACAAAGAAATTTGAAAACCATAGCAGAAGATAAAATATTTACGCCATCCCTATGGAAGAGCACAGATATATTTAGATCTAATTCTCAGTAATTAGCTATGAACATAGAAATAACTACCTCTGCAGCATAATTCCTTGGGATTCTTTTCTACTGGAGACAACTGAGAGAAAATCATTGTACAGATAAGCTGCAAAGTTAGGTTCTAGAGAAACTGCAACCATCTCAGGCTTCTCGTTTCCATTGTCCATCAACTGAATTGACAAGCGAGCAGGGAAAGAGGACTAGAAGCACAAAAATAAGTAAGTATTTTTTTTAAAAAAACACGGAATAGAAATATCACGAGCTATATGCTAAATACTAGTAAGAGCTGAGAATCAAAATCTTACAAACTTAAACCGGTAAATATTGTCTTCGTGCAGTAAAACACGTGCATTTTCATGATAGACTGAATCAACAAACTTTCCAGGTTTCCGTGATTTTTCGTACTCATACAGTTGGAGAAGCTTATTGTCCATCTCATCAGTTGCAACAGCTTGAAGCTGTATGAAAAAAAGATCAGAAAAGAAAACATTGAACGTAGTTCTTTTCCCCTTTTATCTTAATACAAAAAGATTGGGTCAGAGCATCATACCTGCTTTACAAGTTTATATATCAATTTGTCCAATGTAAATAACACATATGACTGATTTCCAAGAATAGCTCGGCAATCATCCTCAAACTTTGAATTATCAGATGAACCATCAAGCAGATAGTAAAGGGCTGTCATAAAACTGCAAAGAAATCAAAGTCATAATCTATCAAGCTCCAAATAAAAGATGATTCCATTGACTGTAGTATAAATGCTTCATTACCTAGAATATGGATCTGAAGGGCTAGAATCTTTCGAATTTCTCCACTTTGTTTCGGAGTTTGTTTTAGCAGCAAATAGCCTTTCGTACAATGTCTGGCACGACAACATCACAGATCAAGCAGCTCCAATTAGTTTCGTCAACAGAAAAAAAGTTAAGAGATGACTACACACGGTCCATTCGGTAGATGGTAATTAATGGCGGCAATAATTTTACATGTAAAATTTTAAAAATTGTCACATAGCAATGACCATGGAATATAACTCCATCCCCAAACATGTGTATTACGTCATAGATTCCCATTACCACTCAATACCACCTCTATAGTGGTAATGGTGAATGGGCTGTAATGGAAATTTATAAGGAAATAGACACATTATGGATGAACAAGTGTTATCAATTTATCATGGACATTGTCATGAGTCTACAAAATCATGTATAAATTCATTAGCATTACCACCTTTTATTAACGACTATCAAATGGGCCATTAGATGCAGAAGAAATGATAAAAAGAAATCAAGAGTAACAGGAACATGTTCTTACTCGATGGAGCCTAAGTAGGACATAAAAATTATCATTTCCGTAAAAAACTCTAGAATCTTTCTTCTCAATGTCTCGAGAAACCAAATATACATGTTTCGCAAGAGGCTTAACTGACGACAGAAAACGTTCAGATAATGGCAATGGGCTTGCATCACCACCTGAATAGTGCACTTCAGCTTCACCTTCACTCTCAGCCTTACCTTCAATCTCATCATGTTCAACATCTTCCTCTTCTTCGTGTTCCTCCCTAGAGCACTCGTCACCAGCAGATTCACTGACAGACATATCATCACCAGCCTCAGATGCATTTTCACTGTCCTCGTCATCAGCATCTGCATCATTTTCAACCCCTGCATCCTTGCCATTGCCAACTTGAGGATTCTGATTGTCTGTATTACGTTTTACTTGCCCAGCTTGTGTACCTGCCTCTCCATATGCCGCAGAGTTATCTTCGTCAATATCACCATTTGGTGACAATTCGCCTTCTTCTTTTTCAACTTTGGGTTGCCCAGTAGATTCTTCAAGGCGCTGATTCACTTTAGAGCCTTGGGTGAAGTTTCCATTGACCAGCGTGGCAGCTGTAGCATCCGTAGCCTGCTTGGCATCACAGGGCATTTGAAAGTCAGCAGAGAAGATAAACAAAAGACATGCGATCAGCTTCATAAAATAATATTATTCAATAAATGAATTGAATACAAACATGACGTACCATTGATCGTGCTTGAATAGCATCAATAGAACTCTTGGGACCCTGAGAATCTTCATCACCATTGTCTGGCTTCAATATGATTGATTGAGAACCTTCAAAATGTCAATTCTCAGTATCGTAAAAGCCATAAAAGTTACAATAGGTAAAGTATTTAAGTCCTTAACAAACATTGCACATCTATATAGTATACTGATGATAAGTACACTCCCTAAATATTTCAATTAGAGAAACTTAAAGCTTATGTCTGAGCATGATTCCAACCTGATGGTAGTTCTGTATTGCTTCTACTGTGGCGACTTTCTGCACCACTTTGAGGTGATGCACTGGAACTAAATAACCGTTCTGGTACTCTATCAGCTGCACTAACATCATTTAACGTCTTTGGCTGGGCATCAAATGACGAACCTTCTTTACCTACTGCATCTGATTCACAAAAACTAAGCTCTCTTGCTGTAGCATCACCATTAGTCCTAGAAAATTTTGCGGCATCAGCAAGTGAGTTTTCTTCACTATTTACATCCAATTTCAGCTGTCTAGGGTTCACAGTTGCAGCATCAGTTGCAGGACTCCCAAGCATTTCTGATACAGCACCATTTCTTGTAGGCCGTTGCCGAAATTTAACATCTTCAACACCTTCAGCAACATGAGTCCGAGACGTAATGCCAAGAATGGGCTCCAAGAAGGAAGTCCAAAGCCTCATCACTTTGTTAAGTTGCTCTTTGGTTGTCAAAACCTCCTCACAAGAAAACTTTATTAGTTTATACAAGTCTTCATGAACGTCACTATCATGATACTCAAAGTCAAAATGAGGGACCAACGGCCTTTTGTTTCCAGCAGCAACCGCCAAAAGCATGCAATCCTCATTTTGCATATTCTCTTTGATGTCTTTGATTTCTGCGATCAAGGCTGTTATAGAAAAGGTGTTAGAACAAAAGCTAAATTAAAATAAAAAGAAAAACAACTTTAATACTCGTATAGACCACTTCAAGATTTTTAGGAAATTGTGTTGTGCTTAAGCCTAAAATGCAGCTTGAATGTCTTAATGTTCCTTTTCATACTAAGAACCATACAGCAGGAATCACCAATACAAAACAGTAAATTTAAAAATGCAGACTAGCTCAATCTAATCTTTGTAATTTTAGATAAAACAACTAGATATAAGACATGACTATTAAAAAAGAAAAACATTATGAGAAGAACTAGATATAAAAGGCAAACACATTCATTATGAAAACCTTTTTTGTAGTAGAAATTAGCATTACAAAACAGTGAATTAAGAAATGCAGACTAGCTCAATCTAGTCTTTCAAATGATGTAGCAACTAGATATAAGACAAGTCAGTTAAAGAGAGAAAAAAAATAAATTAAAAAAATAAAAAATAAATAAATGGCCTGTCGAAAATAGTCCCCTGTTTTGGAAGAAAATCACCAGGGAGAATTCTCAACATACTTTCAAGCTATGACTTTTTAACTTTTCATAAACGGCTTTTTTAGTTAAGATCACTACATCAGTTGAGAAAACAAATTTGTAAACTGTCAGATGGATCTCTCTATCCTCCGTAAGAAACATTCAGAAAAGAGATCTTCACCAAGACAACATAGTTAAAATAAAACATGTTTAGAAACCTTTAACACAGGAAAGTTAACAACAGTCATACAGACTGACCACAGGAAAGGTCTGACAGAAATTCAGATCTAAGAACCATTCAGCCTTTCCTGACTGATAAAGTTATAAGTTCATCACTATTACAACAGAAGAGGAAAGGCTAAGTCTGGCAATTAAAAGGCTTTATTAACAAATAAAAAAATGAAACAAAAATACAATCCCTATGTAGCAGTCGATCTGCATTGCACTCAATTTTGAGGTGCGAAGGACAATTCAAGGATAGATCATGTATACAAAGCACCAGCAATAGTCTGAATACTAAAGTGCATCAAAAAAATTACTCACCCTTTGCACTCAAGTTCTTGGAATCTTGCTGCTTGAAATAGAAGCTTCTATGATCAAGTGACTTGTAGTGGTTTCTGGCATATATGTCAGCCCAAACCTTGTTAAAGTCTGTACGACACTTAGTCCACTCTTCTTGTTTCTGCTTAAGTCGAGTTAATATTACAGGCAATGCAAGAGCTTGATTTTTACGCAATATGTCCATCACATCCAAACCATGGTCACCATAAAGACGCTCTATGCACCTCAAATTAAGAGCTGTATGAGACAAAAGGAAAAGGAAATGCAAATTTCAAGTTTCATATAATAGAGTATTTTTAGTTCCAAATGGAGAGCAGAAAAAAAGACCATACGTGTAAAGTAGTCCTCAATACGAATAGGACCATCTGAGCTGATCATGTTACAATTAACATGGTTTAGTAGATCCTCCACATGTTTGGCAGTAGAGCTCACAGACTCCAGCAACATGTCTAACTCAAATCTGAACACAAAAGATAAAATTTCTGATTCAGAACAGAAATTTAGGAAGATGATATTGCAAGTTTAACCTAAAAGGCAAAAGTCAAAGTTCACAGAAACATCAATGGTAGATGGACCAACACAAGAGCTCACATCAAGTAAAAGCTTGTGGTGGCATATAAAAAAAAATATATATATATAAAAAAAAATAATAAAAAAAAAACACGGAAATTTGTAGATTGAGAACAGCTAATTTTAAAATAGAAATTGTAACAAAAAGATATAAATCAATACACTGCAACTGCTTACCTGTCATCTTCACATCTAAAAAGGCTTTCCTCATATTGGTTTCTGCGCATGTGTTTAAAGGAGTAGTCCTCACTTCCTGAGGTTACAGAGACCCAATAATCATTCAAAACCTGTGCACCGATTTCTGATCGTTGGCTTGCAGTTGGTATTGGATACTGTGGTGGGAAGAAAACCATTGTGCATTAGTGCACATCTCAATTAAACCAAGGGAAACAATAGCTGATAGGCATTATAACATACATCATCAGGTAAAAGTCGATAGCTTGGTGTGCAGCGTTCACAATTAGAAAGATCAAGTTCTTGGATCGACTTAGAAGTATATTCCCTATTAGGTTTTTCTTTAGCTGGATCTAACTCACGCTTGGGCCCTTTATCTTTCTCATCCACCCTAACTTGTCTTGGCAAATGTCCATCACTTAATAAAGACTCTGCAGCTCAAACCACATTCCATTAAACTCAATGATAGAATGAGTGCAATTAATAATGTAAATAATATACGAGGAATCACAAACAAAAATTATCCTCATGGATAATGAAGATTTTCAAACGATAACATGACCGCAGTTCTTCTAAGAGTCTGCCACACATTATGCTATGTATATCAACTCATAAAGAGATACAAGATAATGATTATAAATACTTACTTTTGCCTAAAACACCAGCAAGGAATCCTTCTGCAAATCGAAACAAGAAGTAAGAGGTAAAAAACCAGAGGAAAACACACACACACACACACACCACCAAAGAGAACTTGGGCTTGAGCACTTAAAATTCAAATCTTACCTAGATGATTCTCAGAACGCTCCAAAAATTCATTAAATCCCTCCATAAGATCTGGGTGCTTCCCCAGCAGATCAGCAACCTTAAATGATAAGCTAGAGTCATTAAAGATCTTAAAATTAAAGCAGTATCCCATTCAATACAATGTGACCCTAACTTGTCTTGGTTTCAGTAAGCATGGCCCAAAAAAAAAAAAAAAAAAAAGTTGAGCAGTTTCCTGTTGCCACAATCCTCCCTTCCCCACCCAAAAAGTAAAAAATAAGTTCCTCCACCTTTATGAGAACCATTCATTACAGTAGCCCAAATCTGTAAATCTTTACCATCATAAATCACCTGAAAAGAATTGTTTGATTTATGGCAGCTATGTCTATTGTGCATTCTTAATTTGATTACTTTGTAGCCAAGATAGTAAGGAGCATAAGATATATTTGGGACTTTTAATGGAAACTCCGTCTTCAATAGCAGACAAAAATTTTGGGAAATTGTCCCTGTTTGCAAAACATCTCTCTCTCAGAAAACACACACACACACACACACACTGTAATTGATGTATGTGAGAAAATTGAATTTTTTTTTCCCCCTTTCCATGGGAACTTAGTAACTTACCCATCAAAAAATGACACTGAATTGACCGACACAACAATTTAAGGCGGCCAACACCCTAGGTAGTAGACATTAAAAAAAAAAAAAAAAAAAAAAGAACCTTGTCTTGAATGAAATGTGGCATTGCAAATGGGGTCAATGAAGTAGATCAGGGGGGAAAAAGAAAAAAAAAAAAAAAAAAAGGTCATGTGGCAAAAGTAAATTAAACCTCAACCAACAAAACAAGCTCCACATTTGGGAGCGGGCCGGGTCATTTAATTTAGAGCTGAAGCATAAAAAGTAAAGAGCTTGATCAACCGTTTAGACTTCAGAACATCAAATAATATTAATTTATCTCAAGAAAACTAGAATACCTAGCAACTTGACCACATCTATCTAGCGAGTGGAAGTCAGAGTCATAATGGAAAATGCTTGTTAAAATTTAATTTCATCCAGACAACCCAATAACCACCCTACTGAACATGACTTTGGCTTACAGAGTTTTCTTTTCTCTGGAAATTAATACTGGAGACTGATAACAAGTAAAAGGCAGATGACTTAGAAGAATTTAGCAATTTGTAGATGCCTCACTAGGTAGGGTGGATTCATCATGGACATTAATCCTAGCGGCTGATAATTTCAGGATCCTTATGCCTCAGGTAATAGTCAAATGTGAATTCTACTCCTTTCTTGTGATTTGTAATCCAAGATAATATAACCATCAATATGAGCCATGCAATTATAAGACTTTTGGTCTACAATAACGTTTACAACCATAGAGCAAAGCAAGCAAATGTCTATAAAAGGACACAGCTCAAACCAGCTTCGAATGAATGTGCAGGAAATTATAATCCGGAAAACAAACATTCCCAATGAACAAAGATATCATGTTTCTTAAGCAAAGACTGATTAATACATACCAAACTTTGCAATTCACTTCGGGTGATTATTTCTGTAGTATATATATGCAAACACTTCAAGAATGCCTGATGATCATCTTCACTAGCCAGTTTCTCCTTGACCTTCTCAACAAAACTAAATGCTTCAGCATGCATGCCTAAAACAGTATCAATCAGAAGACATATCAGAAATCCGATGAGTTGAGTACTAAATATTACAAGTCAATTTGAGATAACAAGAAAAATCCACAAGTTTAGATTTCCACGTCAAGTCAAATTAAAAGATAAAGTGCAAAAATTCATCAGCAAATTTCCTATTTGTAACAGGGTTGAGTCCATCTAAAAAATAAATTCAATATTATCCAGCTCATATGAATCAAGCATGCTGGAATTAGACAATATAGCACATCTACAATCCAAGTTTAATGATTTGCATCTCTGTGAATTGAAGGACACGGATCATTAATAATATACACTTAAATATATATGCACAAGATCTGGAAAAGGTGCATGTGTATATCTATGAGAAAATTCTCCGACCCACTCTTACCTCTTTGTCACCAAAAAATAACCCCTAAAGTCATGGAAACCCCTCCAAATGACTGTACCAGGAATGTTTCAAAAAATGCCCTATTCACTGATCATTGAATTGAACAGTGACATTCCAATTTACAACTGTTATGAGTCAAACATAACACAACATTGTATATATAATCATCAAGGTATTAATAGATAATTCATCATGGAGATTTCATCACAAAAGCATCACATATATACTCAAGCTTTTATGTAAAAATGGAAATTAAAAATCCTTTATGAGGTTGAGGGCATTTTACAATAAATTAAGGCTTTAAATACATCCATAGCAATTTATCATTTTCTTGATGATCAAACTGGTATGAATGGTGCCCGTTTTAAGGCTCAAAAAGGATGAAGAAGCAATACAGGACAAGATCCGTCATACTTTTGGTCTCCAGATTAGAAGGTATTCTAAATGGCATAGATTATCAAGCACAGAATAAAACCTAGTTTTACAGCAAACTTAAGGCTCAGAAACAAAATCTTAATTAACAAACAGCTACAAACAATTAAAAGGTAATTGAGCTGAATATAATAGTATAACTCAGGTATCCCAAGGACTTGACACTATACTGACTAGCAAACAAAAACTAATACGAAGTGTATAAGAATCGGTGTGAGTGTGTTCAACAAATTGTACACTAAGTCATAAGTTCTACAAACAAAAACCAGTTGTGGATCAATGCCACATTTTAATGGAGCAAGACCTCTAGCATTGGCAAATAACTGAAATAAGTACATGCATAAGCATTGCAACGTATTTGCCACATCATTAGACATACTTTTCATAGCAGCTTTGTCATCTGAAGATGCCAAAAGGGAATTTGCTCCAAAACCTTCAACTTTGCGGGCAGGCTTTCTTTTGTCGGGAAGACGTTGGCTGTTGAAATCCCTATTGTTATCGTGCTCAGGTTCTCTATCATCCAGATCACGATTCCTCCTTTCACGATTATCCTTATCACGCTTCCTCTGATCCTTGTGTGATTTTATTGCCCCTCTATCTTCATCCAAGTCAGGGCGCTCAACACTATGATCATGCTCGAGATGGGAAGGGCCAACTCTATCCTTAGTTTCCTTACGCAAGCGCTGCTGTGATTAACAGATGATAACAATCAAATAGGACAATGGCATTTATGTACAATCATACAGCCAAAATTGAAATTAATTACCTTATCCAGATGCATCTGTCGTGAAGGCACAGCAGAGCTTCTTTCATCAAATCGAGGTAAACTACTTCGTATGTGCTGAGAATGGTGAACAGTTGCTGACGATGAATTATCAGGTAAGAATCTAGTAAACTCTTCTAAAAGATCTGGGTGGTCTTCAAAAAGTTGTGAAACCTGCAAAATAATTACAGACACAGAAGCAAATAAAATTAACAGCAATATAAAAGAAAATAGCCATGATATAATACTGAAGAAAGGCCAACAACTTACCTCATCATAAACTTCACTGATGTTTTTATGCTCCTTACGATACAAATTCAATATATCAAGGAAAGATTTATACACTTGCTCATCATTATGGAATCGCTTCTGCATGAGGAAGGATGGAGAGAGAGACTGTCAATAAGAAGCTAAAATGTCAAGCTTTAATGGACTGAAAAGGTATAAATGCCTACCTTTATCTTGTTGACAAAATTTATAGCCTCATCAAACTCCACAGCTTTTTTTGGTGGAGGCTCCTCATCATCCAAGGTAATCTCATAACCCTTAGGAAGAAAAGTATTAAATCCATAAATCAGGTTATTGTGCCCCTTGAATAGTTCCTTTACCCGAGCTATGACACCCTCGGTGTCAATTCTGCACATAATAAGAAAACCAATTACATTTTACAACTTTGCAAATGGAACAAACAGCCATCTATGTATTTCACTACGGTCACATACGAAATTACAAAGCTTAAACCTAGAATAGAATAAAAATCTTACCTTTGTGCCTTAAAATCTTTCATGACCTCAAGGAAGTGGTCATATTTATCCCTTTGATCCTGAAACATCTCTTTCACTTCTTTAAGATATTGAAGGGCGTCATCTGTTGTCAACTTCTGTCCAACGCCCCCACTTCCGCCATTGTTCTGAGGTTGCCCATATCTTCACAGAAACACAAAAAAAAATGTCAACCAAATTCATGCAAAGCAATCTCAGCCGAATTCAACAACCCTAATCATCTCATCTCACTTCACTCAAAACCAGGAAGAAAGATCAAGGCATGAGAGGGAAAAAAGTATCATGAAACTCCAAGCATGTTTCGCAGCCCTACAAGTCTTGAAGTCCCAATTAACATAAATGTGCATCCCTCTATGCTCTCAAGAGTAAGCTTTACAAAATTGTAATCATAACCATAAAGTTCACCAAAATGAACTTTAGGGTTCTGCTAACCAAATTACCATAATCTCCAAAATTAGGTTCCAAACTTAACAATTCCCAATTGCCAATAGAAAATTTAGCACAACCCTTGTTTCAAATTAACAATTTCCACAACATGAATTTCCCACAATAACATGATCAACAATACAATTAAGCAAAATTCAATTAAAATAAAAACTCCCAATTTAGAAACAGAACAAATTATGGAAAAACACTCACGATTCTCCTCGAGAAGCACCAAAAGGTCGTTTAAATTGAGAGCCAGCAAAGCTCTCATCTCGTAATCTCTTCATTTCTGCAAATAAACCAAAAATCATCAAAAAATCGCAAAATTTACAAACCCCATAACCATAATTTGCTCAATTATTCAAGAAACAATTCTTAACCTTTCTGTTTCTCCAATGATTCAGCAAACAAAAAACAATAGCAAAATTGGGTATTAGATCTAACCCTAAAAGAGTATCAAAGAACACTTCACAAACAATAAGATCACCAACAAAGCAAAACCCCAATTGGGTAAAAATCACTTAGTTTAATTTTACAACACAACCCCTTTTGATTTTTCAGAGTAATTTGTGAAAATTTGCAGTTGTTTTTCAAAGTATTTGCTCAATAAACCAAGTTGAAATTGGAGTTTTGAAAAATTTAGTTCGAAGCAAAAAACAGGTGAATGTAATATGAAGAAGAAAATTGGTACGAAGTTGAGAGAAGTAGAGAGAGAAAATTAAGGAAGAAAGGCTGAAGACGAGCGAAGAGTTCTTTTTATTTTGCTTAACAAAAATTTCTTACGTGATGTATTCATGTATTATGAGTTTATAAAAAATAAAAATAATGTTGTATACCCAAGTCAAATATTTATAGGGGTTTTATATTCCAATTTTGATTTTGAATTAACAAAATATAATTATGATTATGAGCATTTTCCTAAGTTACTAAGGAAAAATTATAATCTAATAAAATGCTCATGATACCTTTCCCTAAAAAAAAAGGAAAAATTATACTCTAGCTAATATTTACATGCAATATATTCTCATATACCTAATACGTAGTATATACGAGGTATATATTCAAAAAAAAAAATATATACGAGGTATATCAAATATATGAAGATATTGTATATTGTGCAGTTGTGCACCATATTAGTCTGAAGATGTATATCGAGAAAATATATACTCTTCGTAGTAATTATCATGATTGTGTTTATCAAGAAAATAAAATCATTATTATAATATGTGATAGTGTAAATATAACGTCAATTATTCTAAGACTTCTAACCTTAAATAATCAAACAAGCTTAGATAAACCTAATAAATTTCACAAACATATTACTCCATAATAATCTATCTACAAGTTAAGTTTATTAAAGTATTTATTAGGTCTAGTGGTTCGACATGGCTTGGAAGTCTCTAGTTGGATTGAACACTCGATTAGCATAGCCTTTTACCCTTATTAGCTCATGGCCTAAATCTACCAGAAAAAAGGCCTGCAAAATTTGGCCAAAAATGATTTGATCATATATGTTTACCTCTATCGACAAATTTGCATGTATTTATTAAAGAATGAAAAAATAATTAGTGCTTGTTTGGTTGGAAGATATTTTCCTTGGAAATGGAAATTCCTAGGCAATAGCTAAAATATGTTCTGTTTGGTTAGAAATTTTCTAGGAAATAAAATTTCTAAGGGAATTGTAAATTTCTACATAGCATGGAAAATAACTCACCAAGCTCCCCCCCCCCCCCTAGGTGAGTGAATTCGTACCATGCATAGGAAGTTATTTCCTAGGAAATACTAATTTCTATGATGTCAACCAAACACTTTTTTAAAAAATTTATACAATTAGCAAGGGAAATGATTTCCCATGGTATATGATTTCACGAGGGAATTTATTTCCCATGTTGAACCAAACAAGCACTTATTATAAGACTCAAGCTACATGTATGGTCCATCTAAAGTTCAAATTAAATAGGATAAATATTGATAAGGGTTACCAAGTACAAATTACAATTAAAATAAGTTTTAATAAGTTTAGATAAGTTCAAATTAATTATGTTAAGTTCACATAAGTAATTGAAAATCAGGTAAAGTGAACACACCCTTAATCAAGACCTAGTTTTTTTTTTTGTTTTTTTGTTTTTTGTTTTTTTTATAACTATTGAAAATATATACCAAACTTGTATAGTCTAAGTCTTAAACCAACTATAATGGTTCGGGCAGATTTCGGTCCTACACTAGTCCAATCTACAAGCCTTGAATTTTCAAACTTTTAGTTTTTGACCTGGTTTAGTTTATTTGTTTTGATTTCAACGGATGTCATTTTAATTAATTCACTTGTTATTCTTATGTTTCACGATAAAAAATATAGCTGATTTTAATTGAACACTAAATAATTATTGACTATTTAATAGAAATATGCCTATATATTAGTGCTAAAAAGCACTAACTTTTATGAGGATCGCATTGACATCACTTCAATACTAAACCAAAGTTGATTTACTAGGTAGGATCAGGTGCTACATGAATGATCTCATAGCTTTGTTAGAAAAGACTTATACTCAACTATTGCCTATCTTTTAACGCCATGTTGACCTTTTGTGATCATACTTTTAGTGATTTTGGCAATAATCAAGGGGCAAAATTAGGGGGCTCAATTAGTCAAATGCTCAAAGAGGAGAAAAAGTTTTGTCATTTTTAGATTAAGATTGTCCCCCAATGGATGGTTTGCCAGGTTGGGGGCTAGCCGGCTAGGAGGACATTTTGTAAAGCATAATTTACTTCGTAACTTTGAGGTAAAAGTAAAACAAAGTAGTGTAAGACATACCTATCAAAATCACATTCAAAGTTGATATACTGCTACTCTGCTAGCATGTTGTTTTTTATTTTCTAAGGTCACATAATACTTCAAGAAACCTACTCATCAATCAATATGAAAGAACCCGAAGACACCCAAGTGAAATTTTTATTACATTAAAATTCATTAGCCTAAGAATAAGGTAAATAAGAAGATCAATTTTTCCTATTTCAATGGCAAAAGAATAAAAACAATGCAAGAAACACTGTTGGTGACATTTTAGATGATAAATTTTCATTAAGTATATGCTATTAATTTGCCTAAGTAGAACAGCTTATAATCTTGCACTTTAAAGGCTTTTTTTTCTTCATATTTTTACAATGAAACCTTGGCTGTTGTAAAAAAAAAAAGAGAAAAAAAAAAAAAAAAAAAAAACAATGAAACCTTGAAAAAGCACGAAAGTAAGAGCATAATAAGAAGTTTACAATTTAGCCACCAACTTTCACTATTCAAAAACATTCCATTGTATAATAAAGTAGGCTGTAGAAAGATAGGAGTATAGGACTAAATGACTAATGCCAAGAGTATCTTTACAACCCTACACCATGATTACCATCAATTTTCAAGTATTAACCAAGGAGGAGCTTTAAAAATGATTCATGAGATGAACTAAGAGGATCCAATCCTTTATGTTTAAGGGAAAAATAATCCTCTCTCCCTCCTTCCTCTCTCTTCTGCCCTTCTGTATCACAGTCAAGCTGCCGAGATCAATGGGGTAAATGTTTGACAGTGGTGGTGATTGGTGAACATAGGTGTTGTTTATGGAGGATTGGTCATGGCCTTACTGGTAGTAAGCATGTAGCAGTTTATTCTCTCTAGTAGTACAAATATAGGTGGCACGTGGCAGTGTCATGGTCGCCATGATAGCACTGGGGGACGGAGATTGATGTGGTGGTATGGGAGTCAGTGTGGTGGATTAGGGAAGACCAAGGGTGTGCAGCGAGGTTACCATTTTGGATCAAACTTGTAACATGTCTTGTTTGGGCGACAGAATGAAAGGGGCAAAATGACCAAAGCAAGCAACATATAGAAAGTCAGAGAGCTGCACTTGCAGCAAGACAGCACTTGATAAATTCCATAGACACCTTGAATTTGTCCTCCATCATCTAAGTATGACTAATTTCACAACTAATGAACACAAACGTATCCGAATCCAAGAACAAAGTAACAATAATGCTAGAAGTAAAGTCAACACAGACCCTGTTGAGGAATGAATACAGCCAGATTCACCTTCCACAACAAGAACTCGGGAAGTCAGTAATTACAATGGTATGGATAATTATAAATTATATACACAAGGCAAATAGTCATAACTATTACAAACGCATGAGAAAGAGTCCTCACATTTCCATGGCTAAGAACAAACACCAAAAATCTGATGCTCAGATACATATCTGATATCCACTCGTGCTCAGTGTAGCGCCTCTTGTTGTGTAATTTGTCTGTACTCTATACTAGCTATAATTCAGAAGAAAAATTAGACAGCAGGAAATCTGTACAAATCATGTCATACCATGTTATTTGATAATTGGTCGGTATTAAACACAAAGTATAATTTTCTGTGTCACTGAATTTACAATAAGACTAAACATGTGCAAATTCTAAGATCAGAATTTATACATCTATATTACCAAGCAACAAGACCTGCAGGATGTCAAAAAACACCAACTTTTCTTCCAGAAGAGGGTTCCTTGCGCTATTGACTCTGATTTTTAGCAGGACCTATAGTATGATTAGTATCCATGTTTTCAAGTTGGTGATCTGAAGTACCACCTATCCCATTTTCAGTACCTCGACAATCTAGGATCACTGGTTGACAGCTATCTTGCCATGTGAAAACAGCCTTGTTACCTCCTTGACCTTGACCATCAACAATACTCATAGACTGATTCTCTTGTTGAGGAAAGCATGGAACTTGAGTCTGACACTGCAGTCTGTTTGCTTTACTACTAGTAGACTGAAAACCAAATTCATCACCTTCTTTGAAACTAATAATATCAGTGTTAATACTGCAATGATTCTGAAACAAAAAAGTCTCAGTATCAATCTTCCTGCGAAGATCAACCAGCAGAGCCCTCAGTCTCAGTACCTCAGCCTCAAGAGCAGCCTGCCATTGAAGCTTCCTAACCAAATGCTGATTCAAAACACGAAGTTTCCTGACTTCTTCTTCCAAATAGGCTGTATGCGCCTTCTTTTTCTCTCTGTACTTCCTAACCGCCTCTCGATTACCTAAAGGCCTTCTAGCCTTCAAAGACGAGGTCTCACACCGAGTTTTGGTATCTTCCTCTGACGAAAAAACCTGAGTATGAGTGTGATAGCATGTATGTGTATGGACTGCATCAGGACCATGTGGGTTACAAGTATGAGTGTGTGTACAAATTCTTGTTTGCTTCAACAATTCATCAAATAATGAATCAACTGACGCTGATCCTCCTGGAAGACTAATATCATCATTTTTACATGTACTTGAATTCTGTAACAAGGAAGAATCAGAAGGCTCTACTTCTCCATCATCCATGTTCTATCTTTTGGTTGGGGAATTTTATCAATCAGGTGGTGTGCGTCACTGAAATGGGCACAAAATTACACACCAAAGCATCAATCTTTTTGTGGGGTTTATATTGGATTAATCCAAATCTTCTCCTAAGTGAGCCCTAGTTGACCAAAATTACAATAGTGAAAGAAATGGCCAAAATTGACTTTACAACCAAAGAATATATGCTAAAAGATGGAAAGCAAAAATCCTTAATAAGAACATAATCTATATATAATTTTGATTGATTGCACGAAGCATATATTCTCAGAAACAACCCACTAAAATTAGAAAGGACCCCATAATTGAGAAGATATATTATGAGGCCCTTTAATCTTAATCAACAGAAAATAGGGGGTTTTAGGGTGAAAATTGAAAAAATTTGCCAACTTTTTTGAGATTTGAAAGTA